TTGTATTTTCAATTTTCTTTTTCATTTCTAACTTTTAACTTTGTAATCTTAAAATCTCAATGAAATACTATTTAAAAAAATTAAAATATAATAAATTGTAATTAAAAACACATTATAGAAGGTCCCTATCTGAATAATAAATAGCATCCAAGAAGCTGATGTTAATTAAGAGTAGACTCAGGGAGTGTCTTCAAGGGGAGCATCTTCAAGGTGCCAGCCATCCCCAGGGTTGGTTGTATCCCCTCTTGCCCCACGCGAGTTGGCAAAGCCAAGTCTTCACCCTTTCTGGAAAGCTGGGGGAGTGGGGGCCTGCCTCACCTCTGGGGGAAGAGTGTTCCACAGGGTGGGGGCAATGACAGAGAAGGCTCTCCTCCTGGGCCCTGCCAGTCGACATTTCTTTGTAGACAGGGTCTGCAGCCTACCTTCTCTGCCTGACTGGGTGGGATGGGTCGACGTAATGGGAGTACAACATAATTTTATGCTGTCTTTGTGTTAGATTTTTGTGTGTGTTAATCCATATTATATTGTTGGAAATCACCTTTTGATATCATTATACTAAAAGACTGATATATATTAAATGCTCTTTCTGTTTTAGGGGACTCCTCACAGATAAGAAATTCTAAATTACTCTTGGAATTCAACACTACACAGATTTGTTCCAAGGGAGGTCCACACACATGGCAAAGTAACATCAATTTCTATTGTGGGAAGACTCTGGTTAGTATGTTACTGCTGAAAATTTTATTTCTAAATACGCAAGCATTCTTTTTGATTATTAACAGTATTTGTAAGCTGTCCTGGTCCTGACAGAAGAATTAGCATTTGTCCTGGAATGTATCTGTATTTTCCAGCTATTCTTTTACAGATTGTTTATCCTGTTTTTCCAAATGGTCCCATTTAAAAAAGGTACTTAATTAAAATATCTAACAAGTGCCAACATGAAAGAGAAATACTAAGTGTTTAGATTATAAAAGACTACCGCTTCTTAAAAATTAATAGAAAGTATGGTGTGCCATTCAACTTATGTGCTTGCATATCAGGTAAAATAATCATACTTTATTTTAGTCATTTCATTATATATCTCTTTTCAGCCAAGTTTCATTACCAGAACATTTTAAAATCAGTATGGTGCTATTAAGATAAATTGATGTTAACTCTTGGTATTTAATTTTTGTAGTGTCTAGGTTCTGGAATGTTAATTTTGTTTAAACTCCCAGTTACTTCAATCCACGTTGCATGAATTTCCACATCCCAAACTTGACATACCTCTGGGTAAAAGTAGGTTCTTGCTTGGAAATGTAAACAGCTGGTAGAATTTCTTTTAAACTTGTTAGCTATTTTAAGTTTTAATTGCAGTTACATATATAAATTGATCTATATTGTGCATCACTATTTTCTTAATCAGGGTTCCCCAGAATTTGTGACTTCATCTGAGTGTGTTCATTACTTTGAATGGAGAACATTCCTTGCATGCAAGAAGGACTTATTTACATCAACTGAAGAGGTAACACATGTTCTATTTGAACATAAACAAAAAGATCATCATGTGCATGTTTATTGAGAAGTCTGTCCACTAAATTCACTGGGCCTAATAGGTTAACTCAGGAATGCATTCTCAGTTTGTTATTCTCTTGCCCAAAAGTGATAATCTCATATTGTTTACAACGAGTGCTATTAAGTGCCATTTATTGTTAGATTTCTAGTGATGTCATGGAATCTGTTAAACATAGTAAAAAATTATCTGTTTCTTGTTTGAGCAATCTACCAGTTTTTGGATCTAGCTACAAAGATATTCAACACCAGGCGTTAAGCTTAAGGGTTTCCTGCCCATCTGCAATAGCGATTAAGTAAATCTTGGAATCTGTTTGGCTGAGCTAAGGCATTGGTTAGTTCCTCTAGGCCCAGTTTCGCTTGTGTGAATTAGGTGTATGATTGAATGGAGCTAAACTCAAGCAAGCTAATTGAGCCTTCATTTTCACTGAGTCCAAATTAAGAGAGGTGAAGGTAATTTGTTATTCTTTCTTTTTCTCATGCTGCTGATATAACTCCCACTGGACATTAAATATTTTCCAATATGTGAAAGATATTAATATTTTGTATATTCTGAAAACTCATTTTTATATCTTGAATATGGTTTTGTTTCAGTAGATTGTGTATTGTATTGTGTACATTCTTTCACTCATACAGTGATGTCCCCATTCCGTTCTTGCTGCTGCTTGTTTGGTCTCCTAGAAAGCTGGTGGGCAAGTGGACAATCAAGCAGATGACAGCAGTAAAACAACAACAACCCAGATATGAATGTAGCAGCCACTTTTTAACCATGTGTATATCATGTGTACACCATGTGTATATCAAGTAGTAATCACAGGAAGTTCTAGATTCTGATGGGCCTTCCAGAATACTAGAGGTTTGATTAGACTGCTCTGTATACTCTTCCTAAACACACTGGTTTTGATCTGCTCAAGCTGTGAGTACTAAATAGTAGCTTTGAATGACTGCCCATTCTCATCAGTACCATAGGATGGAAGCATAATATGATCTTCATTGGTTCTGCATGTTGAAAAATGGGACCAGATTAAAGTGCTTCTATCTGTTTGAAACACAGAATGACAGATGGAATGCCAATAATGACCCTGTAATAATGACACTTTTATGTTTTAAATTTCTAGGTGCCTTGCTACATATTTGATGAAAGCTTGAAGAAACATGATTTAAATCCATTGATTAAGACTTCTGGTGGATATTTGATAGAAGACTCAGATGATGATTCAGAGTTATACATCAACATCTGTAGAAACATAGGTATGAAACTTGACTAAATAATTGGTAATTTTCTCTAATCTCTTTAGGGCAAGACATTTTTACATCTAAAATTTTACCATGCTTCCCTTTAGAATGAGACACATAAAATATTAATGTTTTGTGTTTCAAATACATTGCCAAATTCCTCAGTGTTTCTCAGTTCTCCATTTCCTTCAACAGCACATATTTATTTACCATTAATATTTATGAGACTTTCCGACTTTTTTTTTTAATAAAGTCTACATTTCCTCTTGCACCTGTGGCTTTACAGAGTCTGCTGATCAACTGTTTCCCACTTTTCTAAGTCTGATATTTTCCCCATAACTTTGTCTAAATATTAGATAATGTTTGTGTATGTTTATCTTGGATATTTTGATTGTTGATTAATCCATAATTCAGTATATCTTACTGGTGCTACCTTGATCCATTTTAGTTATTAATAATAGTCAGATCTTCCATAAATGTATGGAAGAGCTATATCTGAACTCAAGATTTCCTCAAACTGTTATTTAAAGGATTATTAGACTACCTTACAGAAATCAGTTCTTAGCCAGTAGGTTAAAAAATAGTACACTTATTGGAAAAAAATCACAATTTCAGTTATATAAAATATTTCAGAACAGACATTAATAGATATAATATTAGTTTATACCTTCCTTTGAAAATACCATTTCTATGACTATAAGATATGGCTTTGGTACATGACATTATTATTCTTAAGGCTGATTCTCTGTGAATACCACTTCAAGTCACTAAAAACGAGTGTAATCTACTGCATGCAAATACTTGATAAATATAATTGCCTTAATTCTGGAACTCCTGATCAAGGTATCCCTGTAAATCTGATACCCCTTCAGTCATATAAACTTCAAAAATATTCTTGCCCACTCTGCCATTTATTATCTATTACAGTTACCTCGGGTTACGAACTTAATTCGTTCCGTGACTCTGGTCGCAGCCCGAATTG